GAAGATCTAGAATAGATAATTATCTTATAGATGGTGGCGTCTGGTGAAATGAATCCTAATCTTCCACAAAGAGCCTGATCGTAGGAGAGAATTAAATCTAGCCCTTAACTCCTAGGTATTTCTCTAATTTGTATATCTAATTTATATTAATGTATCTTTAAAACATGTTAAAACCGCTAATTAACCCATCTTTTGCTTTATGTGATGGACAAGTTTTTCATCTCTCTTTTTTATTTGATTTTAATGTGGTCAATAATAAGAGTTACCAGCTAACACTGTTGCATTAATTTGAAAACGTCATTTCAAGTTACCATTTTACTTTTAATGTGACCAAACCTATCCGTTAGTATGGCTCATCCTTCATATACTGTTGAAATCAGAGAGCAAAAAAAATACTTACATGTTCAGAAGAAATGATATAAAAATTCCAGAAAAAGCAAGGATAAGAAAAAGCCAACTAACTTCTATTGTAAGTCAATTTCTGTATTATTTTCATTGCTTTGGGACATTTGGTGATGCAGAGCTTTCATTCAAGCCATTGAAGATTTTTGTTGTGTGAGAGTATTTCTTGCGAAGCAAGAACTGCTTCCTGCCTGGCATTAGGATCTGTATGGAAAGATGTTGGGATGACTGCTGTGTCTGACGTTGAGGAAAATCAGCAGAAAAAATTCTGAAATTTCATTCATTGTGTTAAAATATGTAGGGGTTAGGTTTCAGGCTTTAGATGTTAAATATGATAGTCTCTCTCTCTCTCTCTCTCTCTATTTTTTTTTCCTAATGAAAGACTACCATTCTCTGTGGGTATCTTTTCTTTGAAAGAAATTCTGAAGTTATGCACCATCCTAGCATATCTGAATAATGGCTGTCAGTGTACTTAGATAACATTATTATTGCAACAGAAAACCTGAAGACTTTGGGAGTTGTTGCTTATTTCTGCTAGATTTTAAAACCTGTCTGATTCTACTAGAAGCAGCTTGAACTATTAATTATGTATTTATAACAAATTCTCCATTAGCTTGCAGAAGCTATTTTGCGAGAGACATTTTCGTCCAAACAAGAAGAACGATCATGGAGAGACAGTCCTAAAAGCCACAGTACCACCCCCTGTGGGGATAAAGACATCTTTGCAGAAAACCTTCTGAAATTTAAATAGCAAAGTATACATTCCTATTGCCGATTGTTATATTTCCACAATTTCAACTGTTTATTATAGAGAATGCTCTTTGGGATCAAAATTTGTGTAAACAAACATGTCCATAAGAGCACAGTTATGTTTTATTTACAATGCCTTTGTGCTGCGATTCAGCATGACTGCTTATATTTGTCTTCTGGTTTTGCCATATCGGGAGAGAAATCTTCTTTCTCCTTTGCTTAACTTAATTGCCTGTTTGCAGTCGTAGTCAGACACCTTCGTACCTGCTGCTTCACACCTTGGTTTTACAAGTAATTGTCATACTGTAAGGCTGCAGTACCATATGAATTCCGTTTAGAGGAGCTCTTTCCAACCTTGCTTTACCTGACAGAATGGTAAATCTTGCCATTCAAGGCATTACTTACCAATAAGAGGCCACAGAATTTGCTTGTGTAAAACAAAAAATTATCCTAAGTGTCCTTATGTCTGATAAAGTCAGTAGGAAAATCACTTATCTTCTTACAGTTGTGATCCATTAGCTCCTTGTCAGAGGAGATGTTTGTTTCTGAATAGTAGTTCCATGACTTCTTTTCCACAGCTAGCTTACTGTGTTGCTGTGTTGCTTTTCCTTCTCATGGTCTTCGTATTTCTTGCTTTTGAGTGCTTGGATTATTACAAACCCTCCTTTTTCCTTTTGCTCACACTTAGCTGCAATCTGTGGTTTGTTCTAGTAATCAGATTCTCTGAAATTCCTCTTATCTGTTCAAAATTAATAATCTTCTGATAGGAACAAATTTCATGGGCCTTGGAAAAAGTCAGCTGATATATTACCATTCCCATTCTGTTTAGGGACTGAAATGAAATTTAAAACATGTCAGATGAGGCAGGAAGCTCCTATTCTCTTGTAAAGGTACTGATAATGTGGGGCTTGAATTTCACTAAACGGGGGCTTTAATGCATTTTGCATGGCACTGGATATGAAAACAGGTGATTGTAAGAATGACTTCAAAATAAATATGCGTAAGAAAGCAGACTTGATCATGTCTGAAATAATAGCTTCTGAGTAGAGTGTGGATATTAAGTGTCTGCCTTCAAGACTGGTTGTCTTTCTAAGCATTATATGCCATTTAGAAATCGGAAGTTTGATGGGTTTGGTGGAATAAATTGTTTTGGTTGTTCTATACTAATATTGGACCTCCCTCTTCTCTTCTACAGTCAGGATCTCTCTGTCACCAAGTGCTGAGGTGGCAGAGCTATGAACCAGCACAGTAATGTGAGATATACTATCTGCAGCTCAGAGTTTTTGTTGTATAAAAGTTTGTTTCATTGGAACATCACCAGCATTTTGTGAAGTGAGGAAAACACAGAAACATTTGATCTTCGTATAAACACCCTAAGGCTTGCTGAGTTCTCTTTCCTTGTGCAGTGCTCAGTAACGGGCACAAAAAGAATGTGTCTTCAGCAGCAGTTCTGAGGAGGAGGAAGTTGAGGACAGTAGATTTATAGGCTAGCTGTTGTCTGAACCTTCATAATCCAACCAGCATTGGTTCCAATCCAGCTGGAATGCAGCACAAGCCTGAGACGCGTTGATGGGCATAGTGCCCGGATGTCCTGAGTGAACTCTGAAATATCTGACAGAGGCACACATTCTTTATCTGATCTGGTGGTAGAGGAAGGTCCTGTAGTTAACAAAGTAGCTGCTGATTATTTGAATGAGGAAATGAAGGCTCAAGTAAACGGAACATTAAAAAGTAGTGCAAGGAGCCTGGACAGAAAAAGTCTATGTAATAGTGATTGCTGCCTGTGCCGGAGCAAGGCAGCTGAGGACTGCGTCAGCCAGGTATCTTGGTCATCAGGCAAATTTGTAGTGATGACGCAGATCTGAAAAGTGTCAGGCCAGGAATTTGGCCAGCAGGTGATTGCCTGTGGGGATCAGTGAGGTCCATGGTCACACACAGGCACAGCTGCAGTGCAGCCCAGGAAGGACCAGGGATGAGAGCCTCGGTTTGAATACAGTTCCTGAGGGAGTAAGGAAACTTACTGCCTCGCCCGCTCTGAGACTTCTTGCAGCTCTTTCACCCCTGGCTCTTTCATTGTGACAGTCTGAATCAAGATTAGACACCTGCAGTTTATCAGCAAGCTGGTCTTGAGTGAAGCAAGCTAAACTCAGCTAAGTTCTTAGCAAGGGGAATTGCACTCAATGACATTTCCCAAGTTACAGTGAAGCACAGTCATGGTATTTCCATTTTGTTTCAGGTTGCACATCCACTGTCTGCTATGAGGAAAAGGACAGATGATAGAAAATCACCTGGTGCTGTCTTCCACCCAAGTGATTTTAAGGAGCCTACCTCATCTTCTTATGTAAAAGGTAAGATTTATGGGAATTTTCCACTTGCCCATATTGACCCCCAACCTCTGGATCACAGGCAATGTACTGTCACTCAAACTCCCCTTTAGTTCTGAGAAGTTAAAAAAGTTATCTTTGACAGGAGAGGGGAAGCAGATTAAGATTAAGCCTGTAGTTACCTGCTCAGTTTGCTGCCCTGGAAGCAGAGAAGGTGGAGAATGGAGGTGGGCTGCACATATTTCAGGAATATAATGCAGGAATATGGGAGTTGGCATCTTTCAAAAGTGTTCTGAAATAGTTGTGGAAAACTGTAATTCAGCAACTTGCATGTGCTTTCAGTGACACTTTTCATTTGCATTTTCTTACGGGCAGATGTTTATCCATTCCAGGTCGCTCAGAAGAAATACACCTCTCATAACCACAACGGTGACACTTGTAGCTTTACATTCTGAAGTAACAAGGGAGAAACACAGGTATTTCCTTATGTAACTACAAAATGACTGAGTGCCTCTGTGATCTGGGTTTTCAGATGTAGGATGCTATGCAGGATGCTAACTACCACTCAGCTGGAAAACAGTGCTCCTCTTGCTTTATTTTCTTACATCTGCTCATGATGATCTGTCTTTAAAACAATATTGTAATGGCTTACAAATAATATAGTAGATTGCTGTATCAAGATAGTCCTTTATGACTGTTTCACATAAACAGATTTATGTTTCTAGTTAACATTTTAAATTGAAATTTGGCTTAGGAAGAAGAAGATCTTAAAAAGACAGAAAAAGTGCAAAAACCTTGGAGGAAAGTGGCTTTTGTGACTGCTGATAGAAATGGCATAAATGCTTACGATAGCAAAGTACCTGCAGAGAGTTTTCTACTTTCCTGAAGCAGAGGTTTGAGCAACTTACAGTTCTGGCTCTGGTACTGATCAGCAACTATCTTCCTTCTGTCTGTGAAATAAAATGAAAAAGAGTGTGGAAAAAGAGAATCTTACATTCGCAGTTTTTTTCTGGTTACTGTAAAACTTTCCTTCTGAGACAAATGGTGGATCATAATCTCCTGAAAAAGCACAATTTCTGTTTTCTAATGAAATTACATATGAAATTACATTTCTAGGGAAATTACATTATGAAGGGAGAGGGATTAGTCTATCCACAAGATTTGTGTCTATCTCCAGATCTAAGTAACTTCCCTATTGCAGCAGTACTTAGATTGATTAAAAGAAATAAAAAATGTGGGACAGGGGGAGAAGGGGAGATTTGGGCTAAGTGCTGCAAAAGAGATCCTGACATTTGCTTTTTCACACACAAAACGAATGAAACAACTTGTGTTGCAGAAACAGCTTTTCAGTTAAAAAGGCATAGGATGGATCTACTGAAATAATTAAAGCTCCAGCTTCATTGGGAGGCAGTACAGTTTTACCCTATGACTTCAGTTGTTGCTGTGTGATGAGTCTTCACTGCATTGATATTTAATTTGTGTGAAGGTGGAAGAGGTGCTTACTGATGGACATTGAATCATCACTTTCCACAGTGGTACCAAGAAAGAGATAAGTGCTGATAAAAGAATGATGTGGTTAGCTTTTTCAATGGAGATATAAAGAAGATCATGCCAGATCAGAGTGGTGTGTAACATTTGCTTTTTCTTTAAGGAAAATTAACTGATAAGTAATTTGTCCTACAAGGTCCTAGCATTTGTGTTGGTCTGTCATTTCTGGGAGGAAAGGATTAGAGCAGGTGTTTTTTGTTTTTTTTTGTAACCTGAAAAGGAAGTCTGCTCTGTATACAAGGCCAAGAGAGAAAAGGGGCTGAAGAATCAGTCTGGAAAGGAACCACAGGGTAGTTGGCTAACCAGAGGAACAGAGATTAAAGGAAGACAAAGTGCAAGGGCAGCTGTCTGAAGCGAAGACCAACTCTTTTGTGTTTGCATGGTAGGTAGCAAAGAGAGTTCTTTCCTCTAGGTGTTATATATATATGTATATATATATAACATCAGCTAGAGTGGGAGTGAGTGAGTCTGATAGGAGCAGAGGATTTTAAAATCAGTGGTGCATGAGTGAAAGCAAAGAGATGAGAAGATCACTTTCATGAGTGGACTATTCTGTTGTATTTTATCAGGACCAAACGTAGGTAGAAAAAATACTGGATAGATTAATGAGGAGTGGAGTGATTAAGAGCTAGGAATAGAAATGCAAACATAGCTAGTTATATGGATGGCAGATGCAGAAAATGACCTTGAAATGACTTTTCTAAGATGGCTTATTTCTAAGCACATTGTTATGGTTGAATCTGCTTTTGCAAATCTTGTGAACATCCTGCAAACATTTCACTCTTCTTTCAGATTTATTATTATGCAGATGCGCAGACAACCGTTATCCAAATGGCCTGGAGGTGCTGCAGTGCTCCTAATAATCAGATAGGTAGGCAAGAGCTCATGAATGTGAACTGTATATATAGGAAGTTTTATAATGAAAGTGTTGTCTGATTCTGACTCCAGCACTTTTTTTTTTTCTTTTTCTCCTTGGTTTGCATTGTATTTGTACAAAGCAACCTAACAATGAGGTACTAATCCATTGCTTATATTTATGATTATTTGATTTTTGAATTTCTTTAGCAGTATGTTGGATGTCATTTCCATCCTGACTACCATGTCTTCCAAATATCTAACTCTGTGTAAAGCAATAGGAAAAAAAAAAAAAGTAAACAAACTCTTTGCATCTTGTTTCTCCCAGAAAAACATCATCCTGATGGCACACAAGAAATTATATTCCCAGATCAGACAGTGAAATGCCTCTATAGTGGTGGACTCGAGGAAACTTTTTTCCCAGATGTTATAGTAGTAAAAGTAGAAAAGTAAGTTAAATTATAGTAACAGAGTTTTGAGTACAGATTCAATAATACTGATATTTAAAGCTATGGTTTCTGTGGCTGAGAAATTTCAGGACAAAAGGAGAAAGAATTTGGAATATGATAGGGTTTCCTGTAATGAGGCACTGAAAATGCTGATTTTTTGAATCATAGCTGATGAATTATCAGAGGTAAATGTGACCGTGAAATGTTTCTAATTCAATTCCATGTAACATCAGGCCAGGATTGATATGTAACTTGCAAGAGATGGGAGAGGCAGTTTTCTGTGTTAACAGTTCAAGTGCTAAAGGTTTGAGGATGTGGACCCCTGAGCTTATTCCTAGCTTTTTGGCTCATTTTTTTGGTCTTGGGCAAGATGTTTTAAGTATTATCTCTTTATATTCCTTTGTGTATAATTAAGACTAATGATATTAGAACCTACTTATGAATGTGTCTTGCTGGCTTTGGACCTACATTGTTGCAAAAATATTTTTTCTGCTTGCAAAATATCTTGGCATCTCTGCAGGATTTGCAGATCCTGTCAAAATTAGGATAGGATCTTTTTTTAACATACTGAAGTCATACACACAATTATTATTTTACATACTGAAGAATCCTTGTGGTGACCTCTTATTGTGGGATCTGATCTTAGTGCCATCACAGGTAAAACTCTGTGGTGACTTAAAACCTGAGAAAACTTCCAAATGACATTATTTTTCACTTTGACTGTATCACATTCGATAGAGCAGTGAGTTAGGTTAATAACAGACAGATCCTTCCTCAGGCAGAAGGATCCGACCCAGATATATCCTCTTTGGGAAAGGAAGACATTGGTTGCAGTAGGTTGTTATCCTGTCTTCCACAAATATATCACAAATAATCAAGATTCATTGTGAAGGAGGCAAGGTGCTTGTGGTGTTTTTGTCTTGTGGCTTTTTCCATGCTTGTCAGGTATCTCACCTTTGTTGCTATTAAGGCCGACCCTTCAGAAGTAGTTCAAGGAGGGGAGATGTTTCTTCAGGTTTCTGTTGTGTTATTACAGTACCCCCCACAAAGTGTATTTCACTGTTGTGCAGTGCTATATTGCTCTGTATATCTGAATCTTCTGATTGGTTTGCTTTGCTTTCAGGAATGGAGATAAAATAATGGTATTCAGTAATCGTCAGAAGGAGATCCACACTGCACAGTTTAAGAGACGAGAGTACCCAGATGACACTGCAAAGACTGTCTACTCCAATGGCAGACAGGAAACCAGGTATGCTTCTGGACATGTTCAAATCAAAGATAAGAAGGGCAATATTATTCTAGAGAAGTGATCCTTTCCCTTGAAGGGCAGCTCTGGACATAAGTGGCTCAACCAAGTTTCTCTGTAGGATTTAACATGTCCACCCCTTGCACATGCATGGCTGTTTGTACAGATCTTTCCTTTTATCACTGATGCTTTTCTGTTCCTTGAAATTATCAAGATTGTAACTTGTGCAGCTGTGAAAACAAGCGGGTGAGTGCTGGAACAGAGGTATAATCTGGATATCAAGTTGCTCAAGGCCAAGGTATTTTTTTGAGAGCTCATAGAATGGAACTTTTGGAATATGAAATAATCTAACTAGATATTGGGAAAACAAAACTTTTTACCATGAAGGCGATCAAATATTGAAAATGGCTGCCCAGAAAGCTTGTGGAATCTGTCCTTGGAGGTGTTCAGGACTGGAGACAGCCCTCAGCAATCTCATCTAATTAAATCTACTTTGATGGGGGAGGGTTGTACTGAACAGCATCTGGGGAATCCCTTCCAACCTAAATTATTTGATGATTCCATGCGTATGATCTGATAGTCTATTGAATTTGAGGTAAAAAAAAATAATGCTTATTCCATCCATTCCTTTACTCCAAAGTAAACAACTCTTCCTTTTTCCCCCAGTAGTCTTTCTGCAGACGTCATCTGTGTTGATTTGTTTTTGAATTAACCTCCTCCACTTCTGGTACCGTAGAAATATTTCTGGTCAGTGAATTTCCCCCTCTTTAAGGCTCTTGCAGTTTGTACCTAGGGGAATTAATCATTTATTAGATGCTGCTTTCAGCTGCCTTCCCCATAGACTGTCCCTCATCTGTCTTGAATTTTTACAAAACATAGAAGCATGTCCCATGTACAGCTCAGTTCAATACCTGCCCAGTGACTGAGAAGGGCAATTATCTCCTTGTGTCTTCAAATTCCTGTTGCAACAAACACACTTTCAGAGCCTGCTGCTTTAGCCTTTTCTCACACTTAAATGCAAAATAACTGCATTTACATAACTGGAATTGCTTTTTCTTATGCTCAGTTTCCAGTGGGTCAGACTGCCAGTGAAACTACAGATCATCTTTGCAAGTTATAGATTTAACAGAGCAAGAAGTGTTATTAATACTGAACATACACGTGCTGGGGTCTATTAATTTAATTATGGTATTCTGCATATTCATGCAATTTGCTGTCAGCTAGTGTGATAACCAGTAATTACGTTTTTTTCCTTTACACCTGTATAACAAAGAAACTATTAAAAAAACCTGTGCTTTTCACTATTCTATTGAAAGAATTAGATGATTATTTTATTTATTTTTTAGTAGTAATTTTGGTTCAATGCTGATTGAAACAAATCTAAGGGTTTTTTTTTCTTTGTTTTTTTTTTCCCTCAATCATCAAAAGTGAATATGAAGATCCATTTTCAGTTTGGTTTGGAAAATAAACGTATTACATTTTTCCAAAGAAAAACCATTTTTATTCTCAGGAATTCCTTCTAACAACAAAAAGGAATTCCCTGTTCTTCACTTAGTATGCTGATGGCTTTTTTGTTTTCCTAAATTACTATGGAAAACGGACTTGTTTTGTGTGCAACTTTTAGCCTAAAACCATGGTTTGCAGTTCAACAATCTCTGTGTATATATATATGTATTTCTAATTATACATTAAGGGTATAACCTTATTTGTACATTGTGTGCTCCTTAGTGTCACTGTGCACTCTTGGATCTTAATGTAGTTGCAGGAAGATTTATGTTCTAGGATAATGAGGCTTACAGTTCTGCATAGGTGTAACACGTAGAGGGTATGCATAAGGTAGTCCAGTCTCTGAAGCTGTGTGCATGCAGAGACGAATGTGTGCAAACATCTCACTCACATGTGCATCTACTTTGCTTAGTCCTGCTTACCTGGGGCTATGGCAGTACATAAGTATTAGCCTGATTCTACTTTCTGGAATATCAGTGGCAAAGCATTCATTGGTGAAATCGAAGGGGCAGAATGAAGACCTGTGTGGAATATGCAGAGACCCGAGATATGCTGTGCATGGATCCTGCAAGTGCACATAGAATTCTAAAAACCTATCTGAAATTTTGATCTGTAACCTGCTTGCAAATTTTGTGGTGAAAGTGCTGTCTTTTGGAATACTTCTAAATAGCAAACTGTTGACCATCTAGGCTTCTTTCATAAAAATGTGCCTCTGATGCACATATGCTAGCATATGATTCAACATATAAACCATAAATAAAACTTAGATGTTGATCTCAAACATATGCAGAGGAATGCCCTAAGGTAAATATATTTATTGGTGAAATGCCTCCTATCTGGCACTTAATGAAGTCTAATAAATACACTTTTAATGTTTGTTATAAAAAAAAAATAGTTCATTTATCCCTTTAAAATATCCAACAAAATATTTATTTTGTCTACCGTTGACTAGCTTCCAAATAGTAAACCCTAAAAATGAAGGAAATTACACTGCTGAGGGGTAGCCACAAATACTATTTTGAACTGAGCCTGTAGCCTTTATATGAAGGAAATGACATCTTGGGCATCTTCAATGACCCATGTGCCAAACTGTTCCACCCTGATTAGTATTTGAGAAGTATTTATAAAGTTCAGACTGCAGGTGTTTTTCCTTTATACATGTCAAATACCTCTGAGGTGTAAAGGGAATCAGGAACTATAAAGGTCTTTTCTATATATTTCACTGGTTATACTCTTGCTTTGAAAAATATTTGAATAATCTGGGTTTAAGACACACTGCTTACAATATACTTATAAGTCTGCTTACACTGGTTTTCTCTGCTTGTGTTGTCTGTGTTGGTTGCATTTATAACATTGGCATAAACATAGGAATTGTTTTTTAATTGCTGTGCTTATCAGTGTGCATAGAGTGATATTACATCCTGTAGCAAGGAGTACTCTCTGGTGGATGAAAGAAAGAGGCTGCTTTCCACACAATTATGTCTAATATGTGCATGTGTAACACTTTGTAGATCAAAGGCATGACTTTGAATTTCACCAAGTTAAAAATGAGATACATGGAGCAATCAAAAATGAATGGAAGATATTTCTTGTATAAATGCTCATTTAGTAGTTGTCTTATAGACAAGATGGCAGAAAAAAAAAAAGGACTCCCAAGGTCTTAGTAATTTTGCCAGTATACAGTTTTGAGGATATTATTCAATCAAGAGGATTTTTTAAAGTTTTGTTGGTGTTTTTTTTTTTCAAGAAAATCCTTGGAAACTGACCCTGGTGAGTGAGGGCCCCATGAAAATAAATACAGATTTTTCCATTATCTGTATGCTGTCTGCATACAATAGCTAACCATATTTAAGCATAACCTTTTAAAACTATAATGTAACAAAGCTACAGCATAGCAAAAGAACTTCTGCTTTGAGGGCAAGACTACCAAGGATTTCCCAGTATTTTTGCCATCTGTCTTCTGGCCACCAAGGCTTTTTTTTTTTTTCCAAGTAATATTTTATAGTATAACAGGAATGGCTTTGTTATAAGGGTCAGGAATTTGTTTTGCAAAAGCAGAGATGGAGACCATACAGGAGCCATATCAGGTATGTTACAAATGGGAGCCCTTCTGATACTGAGTATGACATATATTACTGATGGTTTTTCATGAGATGATTTTCACATCCTCTACTCCCCTTTTGCTGCAAAGGCAATGGTAAAGTACACCATGCACCAGTTATAAGCAGCTCTACCAGCTGTAGTCGATTGGTTGTTAAAACAGAAATAATCCAAACAGGTATGTGACTGTGTATTTATTTAAGCCGCAGTGGTACACATACCTATTTTGGAAAAGACAGCTCTCTATAAATTTTGTCGTAGAGGACATATAGGGAACAATTTTTTATGAATCCTTCATGGATATGGAGCACAGTGGGGAAACCAGTTCTTTTCCTTCCACAGGTTTTCTGGGCATTGCGTGAAGCACACTGCAACCAGTCCAGAGTTGCTTCCATTCAGACAGCTGGGGGCACCAGAGATATGCAAGGAAAGGGTATTATTTTAAAAATACTTCAGTTCAGTGAGATTTGTTTGTTTATTTGTTTCCATGCTAAGTTTATCACTGGGAAGTTTTATTGCAAGGAAAAGAAAGCTGCCTAGTTGCTGCACCCATCAAATAGCTAATGCAGAGTCAATCAGAGAGAGGATTATTCTTGTGTTCTGAATGTGATCTTGCAGTTTGTATTCTCCCTTCAGTGTCTTTTTTTTTTTTTCTGTTAGCTTGGAAAACCTAAATACTGTATTTTTTTCTTTCTCATGCAATCTATAAGGCCTTTTTTATTAAGAGTTTATTTGAGAAATAGCCTGGAATAGTGTATCATTTTTTAAAATTGCCTTTCATAAGAATTTCTGCAGAATCTTTTTGGTCATAAAATAGAAGTTATTTTATTTGATCGTATTTTTTCAAATAGTGCAAAATTAATCTGTGGAAAGTAATGTCATGAAATTCACAGGATTCTTCAATAACATGGTAAGTTTTGTAACCATTCACCTCACTTGCAGCTTTGTAAACTGAGCACCCATTGAACGTCTGGGCACAAATGGACCAATTTCTTTGAGTCATGAAGCCCCCTTAGTCAGGAAAAGAAAAGAAAAGAAAAAAAAGACCTCTGACATCAAGGTTTGAAAGTAATAGAAAAATAATAAAGACTTGTATTTTTGAGAATCTTTAAGAAATGTAATTCTCCATTTTTATTTTGGAACTATAAAAATTAGAATTACTTTAAAAATTATTCAGTGCTCTCTATTTAAAAAATAATCTCTCATGGTAACTACTAAATTACAAGATTGATTTCTAAGTTGTGTATGTCTTAAGATGTCTCTTTCTGACAAAATTTCAGTGTACTTCTACCACTTTCAGCTATAGATGTCATTATGATATTGTCTGACAGGTAACACCATGAAGTTACATGGAAGCTAAATAGTCTAGCCTTTTCTTTGTCTTCATCTGTTTTGATGGAAACTGCTTGTTGACTAACTTGTTTATTTCCTGTATGATGCTCTTTACATCTGTCCCATCCCTGGAAGCTTGAAGTGCAGCTTCATTAAAAGGAAAAATAAGGACAAAATCTCCAACACGGGGGATAGGCCTCTGGTCTTTTTCAGAGAGAAAATAGGGGAGTGTTGTTAATTTGCAGTTCCAGAAATCAGGAGTAGGTAACCAGCGACTGGGTGGGACAAATTGCTGTGGATAATGGACAGCTCCTGGGAATTTACTTCTTGTTTCAGCTTTTGCTTGGGAGGATGTTTTTGTCATGTTCATCCTTTCCCGTAGTTGGGAAGTCAGTGTTTTCTTTGGGTGTCCTCTGGTAGTTTTCTTAGTCTGGGGGACCTTAGGAATTGAGCCTTTTGCAGCCTGCAAAGCAGATGGTACTGAAGAAGCAGCAGCATATTCAGCCTCTCCTTGGCAAGAGAGAAAGTCAGGGGCTTTCTCCGGTGGACTTTCGCCTGGTGTGCTCAAAGGCACACGAGTTCTACCAGTTTTTGTCCCAGCTACTTGGTTTTGCCTGAGAGCGTCAATTTGCTTGTAATTCAGCAATTCAACAATATCATGAAGAAGTTTTCTTTTCACAGTGGCGTCAATGGAACAGTCTAAACACAGGGCTGGGTTGTAGTTGACTTCTAAAAGCCATGGCTTGAATTTGTTGTCAATCAGGATGTCGAAGCCAAAGAGCTCAAAGCAATTGGACGCTGCTGGTAAGGGAGTTACAGCAAGCAGGGTCAGCATCACAATGTTGTTGATCTTCTTCCAGAGGAGCAGGTCATCCACCCCATAAATTCGAAGGTAGGAACGAAATTTGCTGAAAGTCCATTTGCAGCCATGGCCAATCCCTTCTTTATATTTTTTATATGAAGCTCCGTATTTGTTGATGCTGGTGTTTGTTAGGTGGGAATAGACGTTGTCCAAAGAACCAAGGTCAAACTTTTCAGTGGCAAATCTCACCAGTCCTTCTTCATAAGTATAAATAGTGAGAGGGCAAAAACTGGTGACACACACATAAAGGCGGAGATCCAGTTTATACCCTGAAATGAGCAAGGGGTTGCTAATGTACTTCTGCACAATGACTGTACAGTCATATACAAAGTCTTTAATGTCTTGGAAAATGAGTATTCCCCTTCCACGGGAGAGATCCACAGGCTTGCAAATCCAATAGCTAGGTGGTCTACCCAGGGACTGTTTGTCTTTGCTATATTCTGCCACAAATTTGACATAGTCATTGGGCATGATGAATGCCACTGGACTAAATTCATATAGAGCTGATCCATATGCTCCTTTCATACGTTTCAGATGTCTTACCAAATAGTCTTTTCTGGTGATTCTGACAGCTTCTGGGTAATGATTGAGTCTCTGCCATGGTTTAATGCTGCAGTAGTCTGTCATACGGAAAGGTGAGTTCCGCCAGTACAGGTTCCAGTCTCTGTCATCTTGCGCTTTTTTGTCAAATTCAGTCCAGCCACGTTCCAGTAAAACCTCACGGACTACTGCAGGGGCATTCTCGTGGAGACGGAACACCAATGGCTTCAGGATCTCTGTTGCATTATGATCACCTGCCATCATTTAGATCTTACCAGGTAAAAAAATAATGATGAAGAAAATAATGAATTGCACTAGCGGTCATCACCCTCATAGTGTCCTTAATGCTGGCTACTCTCAGTGTATTAAAACATCTCACCCCTATGCTTCTCAAGTCTGAATGAGGAATCAAATTAAAGGCTGTTCTCTAAGGATGTGTCAAAGGGCATTGGTTTCACCTAGCTGTAAGGCAATGCAAAACATTCATAGCTGCAAATTTATATGTCTCTACACTTGTTTTATTTACTTTTTCTTTAAGGTAGCCTATTGCAGCAGTAATTGCCCCAAAGCTTTTATAATTCATGCATACTTATTTTTTATTTTGTTCCACAGCTGCCTTGAATCCATTGGCCATAATTTTCCCTAATAAGACTTGATTTGCTCTGCTGAAGAGCTGAGACATTTTATTCATGTATCATGTTGCCTGGCCTAGAGCAAAAATAAAAACCCTGTACATCATTCTAACTGATGGCACAGAGGGAAAAATATTAAATGGCCCCTGTAAACTATTGACCATTGCTGACTCTTTTTATTTTCTGAAACCCTACAGAAGTGTTCGCCAAAGACTAGACTCTGTAGCTGGAGATGAACGGTGTTTTGGATGAATGAAGAGTGTTTGGAATCTGCACCAGTTTGACACATCATTAACACACCTTCTTCTCCAAGGATGGTAACTCCCTTCCAAGGACAAGGTCTATATTCCACTTATGCAAAAAGGCAAGCAATAGAAATACAAAATGGGTGGAACATATCCCAGGTAAGACTGTTCAATGCTTACTCATGAGAGAGTTCAATGCCTACTCATGTCGAGAAACGTGATGAGTACTGAAGCGCAGTCATGATGTAACAGGATTTACCTTAATACCACAAAGAGGAAAGTAGTCTTGCTGTGTATCTTGCAGTCAATGTTTCTTTCCAGATTTAGGCAAATTTCTTGCTTCTGAGCTTGCAAATACTTATGTGGTGGCACCCCGGAAATCTTTCTTGTTTTTGTTTCTTCTTTCGTTCCTAGGATTTCTCTTTCATGCCTGCTCGCTAGGCAGCACTTCGTAAAAACATGATAAAATTAAAAACTAAAATGTACAACAACTAAACACTTTTTTAGTACTTGGTTGAAATCCTTAGGCAAAGATTATTAAAAAAAAAAAAAAAAGTAATTGAAGTAGCCATAATAAGCATCTGAATGAATCCACTTACAGATGACAGTATGAATTTTCTGCTAGACTCAACATTGCTACTAGGAGTTTTTCAGTGAAAGGGGCATGGTAAACTGTGCCGCCATGGTCTCAACTAGGTAATTGTAAATTAAGCTGTTAGTAATGTCTAAACAATGCAGTCTTCTTTGGTGTTTTATTCGTGTCAGCTTGTATCAATAGGACATCTTTCATATGGCTTATGTTCAGGGAATAGTTTACAGGAAACTGGCTTGACAAGACTGGATATAACAGATGTAAGCTGTTCCCTGATAAATTCCCTGGTAATTATGAGGTACAAAGACAATAAAATATTTTCACTAACAAAGAACACCTACTTGCTTTTAAAGAAGTCATATCACATATAAGCAATTTCTAACTCAAGTGCCATCAGCAAAAGACAACTTTGGATTAGTCATTGGTCTAAATGAGTGAACGCAAATTTCACTCACTTTACTCTGTGTAAATGTGTGCCTAGATAAAAACTCATCTCTTCATTCAGTGAAATTTTGCCTGCATTCCCACAGGGCTTTCTTTATAGCCCCTTCTTCAATAATTCAGAGATCCGTCTGTGTATTTGCAGGCATTCTTTCACAATGTGAAAATCTAATTAACTGCATTAAAATTTAGCATCTATTTAAAACTGCTGCAGACCGACATCCAGAAGTCATGATATTCCCTTTAAAAACGAGAGATCTCTCATTTGTTCATCTCTCGCAGGATCTGCGCTGACACTGTGATGCCAGCCAGAAGCCCTGCCTGCTATTAAAGGAGTACATGGAGATCTAGGGGCTGCTTTCTCGCGGCTGCTTGGGATAGCTCCACACATTTCTATTACTCACTTCTACACCTCTGTGAGGCAGTCCCATTCTTTGGAAACATAATCCTTGATTAATTAAGCATTAAAAAATTACTTGCTGCATTAATGTAGAACTTTGCTATGAAATTAAACTCATCAGTCTGATGAGGGGCACGTACCTCCCGTGGCTCTGTGGGGCAATAGCTGAGGCCTGACACTGCCCAACTGAGGCTTGGCTGCTGCTGGGTGTGGGATGGGATGAGCGGCCCCCGCTCCGCGCCGTGCCTTGCTCCATGGTGCCGGGCTGAGGGGCTGCCGAGGGGCTGGCGCCAGTTGCCTAGCAATGGGAAGCCATGGCCGACACAAAGGCAGAGAACCGTGGCGGGCAGCCAGCGTGGCAGTGGTACTTGAATCACACACAGCAGCTGCTGTGGAGCTCCTTTGCTCGGCCGTGTTGACCTAAAGCCCATGGCAGGAGAAGGCGGGTGGATAAATGGTCATGTGTTGCTTTGGTCGCGTTCCTGGGGATTTGGGGCTGGGGTTGATTCCGGCTGTCCCCCTCCTTCGCGAGAGCTGGTGCTGGATTTGTTTTGTTTTTTAACCCTCTGTGTCCTCATTACTCATGCTGCACAGTGGAAATGTACATACAGGGAGCCCAGAAGGGAGAAACCTCATCACTGACTGCAGGCCACAGCAGCCCTTGTCCATGGTTCTTGGGGTGGCTCATTGGGCACTGTCCTGCCAGGGTGCAAGGGCTCCCTAGGGGCATGGGGAGGCCCTCGGCAGTCTGTCTGGTCTCCCGCTTCCAGTCCAAGACCCTCCAGCTGCTCAGAGCTTTGGCTCATGCCCCATGACCCAACGGCATGTTATCAAGACAAAATTAAATTTCTGCATCAAATGGAAGCAGGATAGCATGACAATCAGCAGCAGTCTAGCAAATCCATCTGTAATCTCTGGACAACTGGGAGACCTTCAGGATTCTTTGGCTTCAATAGTTTCATCGCTTATATTTTCAACAGGAGGATTAATGGCATGACTTTTTTTGAGCTGACAGGGCAAAGACACATGAGAAAGGTGAATGTGTGAGGGAGCTCACTTACATTTTTCTTCTTTTCTCTGGGAATTAATGAACTCTACTTAATCTCATGAGACACAGAAAAGAAATTTAAAAAATGATTAGCCATGCAGCAACACAGATGAACTTTGGAGTCCTGATGCTTGAGCAAAAAAAAAAAAAATGCCAGAGGGATGGGAAAGTTGTATGAAATGTACTATTATCAAAAATCCCAATAATTTGAGCATTTTTTCCACATGAATTGTATTATTCATTTATATGCTTTTGCCATACTAGATGAAGACTCATCCTCCTGTTACAGTTAATAATTGCAATCAATGAGGGAAAAACTTCAAGGAGGAAAACAAAAAAGAAAGAGTACCACCATGAAGGGAAGAATACTGTTGTCTGACTATCTAAGACAAGTTGGTGAACTCTTCAGTTAGTGGATTTTGTGATGTTTGAGTATACAAACTGTAGATACAGCCAGTCCATACCATGATGTTATATACAGCAAGTGTTAAAAATGCAGGATGAAGGCAATACAAATCTTTATAAGCAGTCATTCTATATTGTGGTTTGTATTCTCTGCAAACAGCTCAGCAATCCTAGTTGCTGTCGTCTTGGGATGTTGCTTGCATGGTTTTCATGTATGGTTTTAAATCTACCTTGCCATGTCTGATCCACAGATATAAAAACATTTCTGCACTTACTAAGATTTTATTAGTTAAAAAAAAACAGACAAAATTTAGTTGGTCATCTGTATGAAAGGATGAAGTCAGATAATCTCCCCTACAAAGCAGAGGTGTCAAAAGGATTGTTTTACTCCTAAGACATTTACAGTATGCAGAGTTTGAAATTTGTTATTTTATCCTCACTCTGGAAACGGACAGTACATTTTAGAACACCGTTGGAGACACTGTATGTGAGAGCTGGCCAGCTTGGTGTTCTTCCATCACTTTGACCGTGTTGTATTACATGTGTGTTTCCTGGGGGATAGATCCTATTTTTTTCTTTTCTGCAGTAGGTATAGTAGATATCCCAGGAGAGTTCTTGGCTTCTATGTATTCCACTACTCCATACATCACCATTGACACCACAAGCACAGACAATACGATGTACAGTTTGATGTAGACCTGCAAGAAGGTGCTATAACCAAAAGCAATGACATATCCAACTGATTCCCAGAGGCGGTAGTTTGCAAAGGCAGCCTCCTTGCGTTTCTCAAATAAAACACCATAGAGTCCTGCAAGGAAGGAGAGACAAGGTTTATGATGGTTAAGTCTGAAACCATGTGTTTTATAGATGTGTAAATAGACTACAATGGTGAAAAAAAACTGTTATGCAACTTGAATGCAAGGTTTGTCTTAGAATTTTTGCGCTCATACAAATTGTTATGAAAAGGTAAACAACAGTGAAAATGACAAAATATAAAATATTTGAGAAAAAAAAAGGAACAAAAGTAGCAGGAAACAAGAAAGAATCTTTTCTGTTGATGTGAGGTATTAGGAAGCTTGTTTTTTCAAACTATCAGCTAAAATCAGGAAGGTTCTTACAGTGACCAGTGAGAATTTAAATAAGGAGGAAGAAAAAGTGTACAGAAATGGCGCTCTACAAGGTTGATTCCCCATGTACAGCTACATGGAGCCTGAGAAGTCTTGGCCAAATCCTAACAAATGTTCAAAGGACAGAGAATTAGGGTTGTTTTTACCATGTGGGGTAGAAAGGATTGAGGAACTGCAAGAACTCCCTCCTGGCATCCTTCCTAGTTCTGTGGGGGAAACTGCATAGACCCTGTGTACACTATGTGCTTTTTCTCAAGCCATTGCTCTTGTCCACCTAAGAATGTGCAGAGACTAGTTATATAAAATACCTTGTTTTCTTCAGAACTTGGCCCATGGAAACTCCCAGGAAAAATTTTCAAAGTGTTGCCAGTGGTAGCAACTTGTGCTATTCATACTATAGCTGTGTTATGTGGGAAAAAAAAAAAAAAGCAGATCCAAAACACATGAGTCAGAGAGTTCTGGAAAATAGAATACAGAGCCACAACTTTGCTCATATTTAATATAAGAAGGAGATTTGCTTCTCAGAGATAATCAAGTTTTCAAATAATCTTCTGAATGAGCTGTTAAAAATGGTATCCTTGACACCTACTGAATCTGTGGACAGCAACTTGATAATTCTCTTGCTGATAAAGACTTATTTGATTGTACAGGGTTCAACTGATCACCCTATTCCATTTGTGTTAAAACTCTCGCTGAGTTCAGTCAGCTGCACGTTCAGAACTGGGATTGAGGGAGGGAGCCCACCCTCCACATCTGACTGCTCCAGGACACATAAAAGGGAAGAGCATCCTCTGGGTGCTGAGCTAGCACCAGTAGCATTTCCACCGACTCAGCTGTGGTGTGTACGGGGGAGGGGAGGGAATACAATGAGCCTTGACCCTTCTCATCTACTTTTGTATCTAACAGCACATCTGTTTGAAGTATGCACATTCATCCAAAAGAGGCACAGGGATACAAAGTTCTCCAGAAGTGTGGGTTGACTCAACTAACCTTTCAGCTTTATTACAAAGGGGAAGTCAGTAATGTGTATGTAAAAATTTACTGCTTCCTGATCACTACAAGACGACCTTTACTGAATGTTTCAATTTAGTAAGTGAACAGACATGATGGAAAACATGGGTGAATGTATCACAACATGTACTTAGTTCATTGATCTTGCTGAGTGTAGTGTATTGCAAGCTATTATTATGAGCTGTTGTACAAGCTGCTCATAGCAGAGATTTGCTGCTGTGCCATGTATTTTCCCTGAAAAAGTATTTTTGCATACATGAAAACAGATTAGTGAAGGGAGTTTTTTATAGGATTGTTTCTGATGACATGACATTTCTAAGTGTAAAAAATCAGGCTTTTAGCTGGTAGCTTTTTTCTTTTGCTATTTTGAAGCTTTCATTTTTAGTCAAAACTTTGGGGGAATCAAGTGGGCATCAAGTTTGAAGTTAAGATACAAGAAGAGCTGGCTTGGCAGGGAAGTTCTAGGATGCAAGTGTGACATTAGCTAGCAGCAACACAGGTACACAGTAGTTTCTCTTCCTCAGATCTAAACCTTTGTCTGTATCACAAATCTTGTCGAGTACAGTGTGTGGCAAAGATGTCTCACTGAAGCTTCAGGAGGACTTGCAAGACTGAATTGAGGAGCTACTAAGTCTGAATTCTTGCTGGAACTGACAGACCTTCACTTTCATGGAAATAACACCCTCTGCATACCCCTAATGCTGTTTTCCTGTCCCTGTACCTTCCTCACTTCCCTCTGGTACTTTAGGCATGGGTATACAACAGGGATCCTGGAAATCATTTGAATCCAGTTCTATAAACTTTCCAGACTGATTCATATCCTTTCTAAAGCAGCTTATCATGCTGGAAAGTGGTCTACTAAGGTCTGCCTTACAGTCTTGTGCTACACAATTGTTATAGACTCAGTGCAATTATTACCAGGAAGATAATAACAGCAGCTGTGTTCAGTTTAGATAAGAGAAGGTACTATGCACTCTGTAATGAGATGGATTCTACTGGAAATAAATGAGAGCGCACATATGCAGAAGCATATTACAAAACCTTTATAAGATGAAGTAATTCATCTAGCATGAGCCTACATTTATCCTCTAGGGGGGACTCTAGTACTAATTATCTACCATAGACCATAACAAAACATTTTTGATTACTACAAAATGCCTTAATTTGGGAGCACATTAGTATTTTTATTTAATCTATTGAGACCAAATGGGCATTCACTGGAACTTGGCAAAGGAAGGCCCAGAAGTCTTATCCTGTGCAGTTTTGATACTGGGTGCTGCAGAAAAAGACTTTTTTTTTCCCGGCTAGCTGCAAGATGCAAAATTGTCATAAATATCTTCCAGGAATTTGGCACAATACAGTACTGTAACAGAGCCACAGAGTCTTGCCACAGCACTGCAAAGCTCATTAGCTGTTATGTAAGCACAAAGCATTGTTCCTCATCTGGAGGAACTGCAATTACTCTGTGACCAACCACTTTTATACCACCCACTTTTGCTAAAAACAGCTATAGCTTCATCAGGCATGCAAGGTTCTCAGTGAGGAGGTGTCCTTCCCAAAGAAGTCAAATGTTGGAGGGTGGGAGACTGAGCTATGGCTCTCAGCAGAGCTTTGGGAAAAAGCTAGATCAACAGTCAGGCAGACTGTTGGCTGAAGGGGCAGCAAATGAATGAGCAACCTTAGTTTAGGGAGAGCAAATGATCAGTGATACCGTCTTTCCACGAACCTGAATAATGAGAGCTGCTGATTTAAAACTGTACTAAAAGCACAAGGCTATGTGTTGTGATGAGATTGGAGAAGGTCTTGCTTGATATATGTACTTGCTCTCTTCTAAGGGATATGATCTGGAGCTGCCAGAGGCACAGTCTGACTGCTCACTTCCCTGTTTGTAGAGGTAAGACTGTGCATATGCTGTGAAGGAAGTTACTTGTAAGTACCAGGCAAAAAAACATTGTGTTTTCCCTTTGGCTCTCCAGGAAGAACATGCTGATTTGCCCAATGGGCAAAGTCTTCTAAACTACTCAAGCAACCAGAGGCATAAGGAGAAGGGCCAGACACTTGATGTGGAGCTGAGGTGAACTAGTTCTGTCAAAGGATATTTCTGTGGTACTAACCACATCTGAATTGGAGATGAAAGAAAAAAATATTTATGAAATAAGGAAGCAAAACATGTGAACAGATGGGAAAACATTTAACTGTGTCTGGTTAACACAGATTATGGCATTGAGCTAAAAACACTCTTACTGACAATCACTACCAGACAGTAATTCAATTCACCAGAGACTACAGCGCTTTCTTGCCCTGTCTAGCATTTTAAAATCTATCTTTGACTCACATGTACTTCAGTCTTTCTATAAGAGAACTTCCTCTAGGTTTCAGTGAGCTAAAGGTTTAAAGAATCTCTTACAACAGTGGCTTTGTATCAGGTCATTATCTGATCTATCATATATAATCACAAAACAGGCAAAAGAAAAGAATATAGGCAGGTGCAGTGCATCATACAAAAAGTCCAAGCATAGAATCATAGAATCGTTAAAGTTGGAAAGGACCTCTAGTCCAACCCCCCTGCACACGCAGGGTCACCTAGAGCATGTGGCACAGGATTACATCCAAACAGGTTTTGAAGATCTCCAGTGACGGAGATTCCACAATCTTTCCTGGCAACCTGTTCCAGTGCTCCATCACCCTCACTATTAAGAAATTTTTCTTTAAGTTCCTGTGGGACTTTGGTGTTTCAGTCTGTGGCCATTACCTCTAGTTCTGTCGGTGGCCACCACTGAAAAGAGGCCAGCCCCCCTTGAGGG